TAGGGCCAGGGAGTACGGTGCCAATCTCTAGGGCCAGGGAGTACGGTGCCAATCTCTAGGGCCAGGGAGTGCGGTGCCAATCTCTGGGGCAGGGAAGTACGGTGCCAATCTCTAGGGCCAGGGAGTACGGTGCCAATCTCTAGGGCCAGGGAGTACGGTGCCAATCTCTAGGGCCAGGGAGTACGGTGCCAATCTCTAGGGCCAGGGAGTACGGTGCCAATCTCTAGGGCCAGGGAGTACGGTGCCAATCTCTAGGGCCAGGGAGTACGGTGCCAATCTCTAGGGCCAGGGAGTACGGTGCCAATCTCTAGGGCCAGGGAGTACGGTGCCAATCTCTAGGGCCAGGGAGTACGGTGCCAGTCTCTGGGGTCAATACGGTGTCAAGCTAGTAACATTTCTGTAGTTAAAGGATATTAACGCTAGCTCTATGATAGCACACGACACAAACCGGTGCTGTACAACCCGTCCTCACACTAGGCTGGTTAAAGCAGCGGCCGTCCTCCCCAGACGCAGTCATCAATTTTAACACACTGTGTATTAAAAATATTAATATTATTTTACATAAACGTTATTTGTGTAGTTAGGCGCAGGTTAGGTTAGGTGTTTAGGTTCTGTTGGCGATTATTTGTATTTGAAGTACGTGGGTGAAGCATTTATTGAATTGTGGTTCGAACAGAGGACGTGAGCGAAGCACTTGTTTCGGAAGTGTTCGGACGTCATCAGTTGTGAGTAGTGTGTAAACCGGTTTTTATTCATAAACAGGGGGTTTGGTGGCTGGATTAGCGAGTTTGGATCTTTGCATGCACGGACGGGCTGCGAACAGAGGTCGTAAGCAAAGTACTGTTCGAGAAATGTTCGAACGGCATCAGTTGAGTCATGTTTAATAGCCCGTCCTCCAAACAATGACCCAAAAGTGATTCCATGCACCCGCCAAACCCCCTGTTTATGAATGAAAAACGGTTTACACACGACTCACAACTGTTGACGTTCGAACACTTCCCGAACAAGTGCATCACTGACGAATTTTGTTCGAACCACAACGCTGTAAATGCTTCACCCACGTACTACAAATGCAAATAATCGCCAACAGAACCTAAACACCTAACCTAACCTATATGCACAATATGCTAATATATTATAATATTAATTTATATTTGAGAACATTCCCGTCTTGAATGAACAGCATGTTAAAATTTATGAATGCGTCTGTGGGGTCGACCGCTGGATGTAATGGACTTGAGACGAGGACGGGTTGCGTGTGTAAACCGTTTTTCATTCTTCGGACTTTGCATCTTTAGAACCTAAACGCCAAGTCTAACCTAACCTACGCCTAACTATACATTGATTTTTATTGTTTAATAATAATAATTCTACATGAGGTAGGGAGGGAATTATTAGTGCAAAGTGCCAAGCCATTACGACTATATAGCACTTGGAAGGGGTCAGGATAAGGATTTGGGATGGGACGGGGGGGAAGGAATAGTGACCAACCATTTGGACGGTCGGGGATTGAACGCCGACCTGCATGAAGCCAGACCATCGCTCTACCGTTCAGTCCAAGTAGTTGGGCAATTGTATTTGAGAATAACCTATTTTTTTTTTTACACATTACTAAATTATTGTGTAATATTAAATTTTAATAAAAGCTATTTTTATTAAATGCTTCTCTCATGCGCTGAAAATATTTCAATAACTGCAATATAAAACCATGAGAGGAAGTCTGTACCACCAGGAGCATAAGTCTCTGTGCCACCAGGAGCATAAGTCTCTGTGCCATCAGGAGCATAAGTCTCTGTGCCATCAGGAGCATAAGTCTGTGCCACCAGGAGCATAAGTCTGTGCCACCAGGAGCATAAGTCTATGCCACCAGGAGCATAAGTCTGTGCCACCAGGAGCACAAGTCTGTGCCACCAGCAGCACAAGTCTGTGCCACCAGGAGTATAAGTCTGTGCCACCAGGAGCATAAGTCTCTGTGCCACCAGGAGCATAAGTCTGTGCCACCAGGAGCATAAGTCTGTGCCACCAGGAGCATAAGTCTGTGCCACCAGGAGCACAAGTCTGTGCCACCAGCAGCACAAGTCTGTGCCACCAGGAGCATAAGTCTCTGTGCCACCAGGAGCATAAGTCTGTACCACCAGGAGCACAAGTCTGTGCCACCAGGAGCATAAGTCTCTGTACCACCAGGAGCATAAGTCTGTGCCACCAGGAGCATAAGTCTCTGTGCCACCAGGAGCATAAGTCTCTGTGCCACCAGGAGCATAAGTCTCTGTGCCACCAGGAGCATAAGTCTCTGTGCCACCAGGAGCATAAGTCTCTGTGCCACCAGGAGCATAAGTCTGTGCCACCAGGAGCATAAGTCTCTGTGCCACCAGGAGCATAAGTCTCTGTGCCACCAGGAGCATAAGTCTCTGTGCCACCAGGAGCATAAGTCTGTGCCACCAGGAGCATAAGTCTGTGCCACCAGGAGTATAAGTCTGTGCCACCAGGAGCATAAGTCTGTGCCACCAGGAGCATAAGTCTCTGTGCCACCAGGAGCATAAGTCTGTGCCACCAGGAGCATAAGTCTCTGTGCCTCCAAGATCTTAGCATGTCTCACTAGTCCTGCCGTCAGCAAGGCGAGCCACCAGTCTGGTTCCCTGGCTTACTAGTCTTACCATCTTGACCAGGAATGCTAAATACATTTGTTCGAAAAAATGTACTTTTTATCATTGGTTCTGAAAACATGCTTTTTTATCCTTTGTTCCAAAATGTACTTACATCATTTGCTCGAAAAACAAGTTTTTTTTATCATTTGTTTGAAAATGTAATTTTATTGCATGTTTGAAAACATAATTTTAACTTTTGTTCATCAGTTAATGAACAAAACCCGACTGTCCAAGTGTTTGGGTTTCATTTCATACCTTCGTCCTATCCTAAATCCTTATCCTTATATCCCTTCCAAGTGCTATATCGTCGTAATTGCTTAGTGCTTTATCCTTATAATTACTTCATCAGTTAATGCATTATAAATTTTTATTAAATTGTTCAATGGTAAAAACTGAACAGAAAGCATGTTCTCACCTTCACCTCAATTAGCACCTTACTCTGAACTGAACATAGAAGAACATGAAAGGGACATGACAGAATACTGAATACAGGGGTTTACAATATATATATATATATATATATATATATATATATATATATATATATATATATATATATATATATATATATATATATATATATATATATATATATATATATATATATATATATATATATATATATATATATATATATATAATCAAATACGTTTAAGTTATAAACATAAAATCAACAACATCACGAAAGAAAACGTAGTGTCGGTCATTAAGAGTGAAAGAAAGACTAAGATAGCAGCCAGCTGTGCCGAGAGCCCCCACGTGCGCTACACCCACGGATATAGACCAGTAGCAAGCGACTATACTGGGTTACACAGTTGGGGGGAAGGAGGAGGAGGAGGAGGAGGAAGGGTTGTGGTGAGGACGATCTCAGGGCGAGGGTGGGGGCTATGATGGGGCTGGGAAAGGTGAGAAGCGTATGGGGGGAATGGGTAAAAGAATTACAAACATTGATATTGAGGAGGTTTGGGGTAGCAGCAGGGATGGGTATAGGGAAGGGGGTTAAGACAAGGAGAGCAGGCAGGGAAAATGTTGGTGTGTTAGATTAGAGGGTAATGAAATTTGACTACTGGGAGGGGGGTGTGTGTGGGGGAGAGAGGGGGGGAAAGGTATTATAGCTGGTAAGTGGAGAAACCAGTGGGGGAGGGGTTAGGAGGAGAGGAACTGGTAGACAGGGGAGGAGGAGGTCGCCGTGGGGGAGTGTTTGTCATTTTGGGATATTGTCAGGCAAAAATAAAAGGCTTGTGTGGGCGGACGAAAGTTCCACTGGTCGAGTAGACTCCAGTCACGTCAGACCTGTGTCTCTAGCGGGCTTCAACCCCTCACAACACTTGTCAACATGGTGAGTACTTCCTCTCTCTCTCTCTCTCTCTCTCTCTCTCTCTCTCTCTCTCTCTCTCTCTCTCTCTCTCTCTCTAGTTAGTACTTCTAGGTAATATGCATGCACATTGTGCACGTGATTTCGTGAATTATTTTCCGTTCCCGAGGATACGAGGTTATCAAGGTTCTCCTTCAGAACAAGGACTGGCCTTTGCCAGGATGCCACCCACTACAGTCGACTGACTCCCAGGTTAGCTACTTGTTTTTTGTCATAGTGCTGGTGGAGCTGAAGCCCGTTGTGCTTACTCGTGTTTTCTAGTTAAAAGTTCTTATTGGTCTCTGTACCAGACTCAGGTTGAGTCTGTCATGGAAAGTAGGAATTTATATATGTAGATTTGTGATTGAATATTTGGGTATGTGTGGGTGGTGTATGGGAGGTGTTTGGATGGTGTATGGGAGGTGTTTGGATGGTGTATGGCGGTGTTGGAGCTTGTATTTCGGGTTGTATATACAGTGTTTTGTGTGTGTGTGTGTGTGTGTTTGTGTACTTACCAAATATATGTACTATATTCGGCCTAATATAGCGCATATTGGGCCTAGGGTTGCTTGGACAAGTTAAATTAGGTTAGGTTTGGATTCTTAAATTGCATTTTTCAATTTCTTAGAATCCCAGATGGGCTAATTCAGTAATAGAAAACATTAACTTTCTGGGGACCAACAGTACATTTGTCAATGTTTGACGAATTAGTTGCCATAAGTGCTATCGTTTTAGGAGGATGGACTGGCTCCGTTGGATCCTTTGTATATGAACTTAACTAACGGGGGGGGGAGTGACGCTTAGCACTGTATGTTCCGCCTACTGGCCACGTTGTACCTAGTGCGTTATGATTTCATCATTCTGAATATTGAATAAAAAAAATATCAAATGGCATTTTCAAACACAGGCTTTAAAATATATAACTTCTTTACTCACTATTTAATGCTTATGATAAGTATTTGTTCATATTAATATATATATGAGACAAAATATATTTTGTTTGTACAAGGGGGCTCCCTGTTTGTACAAGGGGGCTCCCTGTTTGTACAAGGGGGCTCCCTGTTTGTACAAGGGGGCTCCCTGTTTGTACAAGGGAGCTCCCTGTTTGTACAAGGGGGCTCCCTGTTTGTACAAGGGGGCTCCCTGTTTGTACAAGGGAGCTCCCTGTTTGTACAAGGGGGCTCCCTGTTTGTACAAGGGGGCTCCCTGTTTGTACAAGGAGGATCCCTGTCTGTACAAGGGAGCTCCCTGTTTGTACAAGGGGGCTCCCTGTTTGTACAAGGGGGCTCCCTGTTTGTACAAGGGGGCTCCCTGTTTGTACAAGGAGGATCCCTGTCTGTACAAGGGAGCTCCCTGTTTGTACAAGGGGGCTCCCTGTTTGTACAAGGGGGCTCCCTGTTTGTACAAGGAGGATCCCTGTCTGTACAAGGGAGCTCCCTGTTTGTACAAGGGGGCTCCCTGTTTGTACAAGGAGGATCCCTGTCTGTACAAGGGAGCTCCCTGTTTGTACAAGGCGGCTCCCTGTTTGTACAAGTGGGGCTCGAAGCCACGTCCCAAGACTACCCAAGGCACACGGACAGCCACAGATATTTATCTTATAGTTACATTATGTGCTTGTGAGTTCACTGGGTAAATATTTCTACATTTCGGCTGCCTATACATGTAAGACCCATTCCGTCTTGTGGGACAAGGACTCGGTCCTCTCCTCCCTGCTCCAGCATCTCTGGGAAGGCTATATTTTTGGTTTGATAAAAAGAGGTGTTACGAAAATTTTGCCTTTGACTAACAACCTGTTCCATTGCCAATGTTGACGTTATCAACCATAATATTTGAGTGAAACTAAATAAATGGCGATCTTCACCGTACTCTCCGGGCCCCAGAGATCTTCTAAAAGATCTTCCTCGTGAAGATCTCACTCAATTGGTTGTATGATTGGGCTCGTCTTACGCTTCTGACTAGGCAGAATCCTTAGATATTTTACGCTTGTCATGTCGTGACAACAACTAAATCTAATTGTACCCATGTCACGCCACGTGACAATGATCTGTCAGTTACTTTCATGATTTGATTTTCTAAGTTCGTCTATCCTCTCTCACCAGGTAAGTTCATACGCAAAAAATCGAGTATATTTTTATTTCTATAAAAGAACTAAACTCTAAGCTTATTTATGCCTCTGATTATTGTTTTATTATAGATCAATAATATCTGACGAGTTAGCAGTTCTAATCATTTTATTTTATTGAATCAAAACAGCACAAAACTGCATCATAATTTTATTAATTACCAACAAATTATTTGCATTTACTATGCTCTCGCTTTGAACTTTATTTTGCTTTCTTCATATTATTTCCAGTATACAAGTCTGAACAAAGCTGGAACAGTGATGTATATGTCACGCAGTATACTCTATATTAATACTTACTTCAAATACAGCACAATACTGTATCACTTATTTTCGTAGATTTTAAATTTTATTTTGCTATATTTAATAACAGTTATGAATTATTTATTATTTCATGTCTTTATTAACTGCATTATAATTGCTACTACAATTTGTGAAAAGAAATAATAATAATAATAATAATAATAATAATAATAATAATAATAATCCATGTGGAAACTGCTATTGCATTGCAGGATATGCTGGATGAGGAACAGATTGGCGGTAGGTAACATATGCCCTGGCTGCCCAGTGCATGTTTGTAACCGGTGGTCCCATGCCCCTGTACCCCTCAACGCCCCAAACACACACACACACATACACACACACACACACACACACGCACACACAAATATATATATATGCATTTCCACCCTGAGTGAAATAAGTGGTTCTCACTCTCAACAATTGTCTAGAATCGTCAAACCTGCTCGTATTTGCTGCCATTTAGTGCTATCTTCCTAGCACATTACACGGGATCTTGAGCTTTGCTGCACCCTCCCTCCTTCCGTTCTCGTTCAGCCAGTTCAGTCACCCCTCCTTATCCTTATATAGTGATATATCTTGCTGAGAATGAACACATATTTATGGTGTGATCTCCCGATGTGTAACATGGTATCGTGGACTTTCAACCAGTTGAATGGTCTTCATTGCAGCATATTAGAATCATGTGCACTTTGTACCTTTTTTGGAGAATTTTAGGTCAACCCAGTTTTTTATGTGGTTCTTGTGCCTGCTAAGCATGGTGTTCTGTGTACGCCTTCCTGACTGCCCACGTGTATGGTATTGTTCTTTAAAGAATAGTTTTCTATATGATATACATCATATTATCTATGTTTTAAATTCTGTTTAATGGTGTATAATGGATTGCCAGACTTGATTCTCAGTGGTTTCTCACCCCAGTGAGAAACCATCAACCAGATTGACTTCCTCCTTATTCACACTATATCTCACATTCTTCACCGTCTTCTATTCTACACTGTCTGGTACACAGAGACCTTCAGTGCAATGCTAACACTGGTTTCGTCTTGCAGCCCTCCAGAAGGCGTTCGACTCCTTCGACACGGAGAGCAAAGGCTTCATCACCCCGGAGACCGTTGGTGTCATCCTCAGGATGATGGGCGTCAAGATCTCCGAGAAGAACCTTCAGGAGGTCATCGCTGAGACTGATGAAGACGGTGAGTCGAGGCCTGGAGTCACTCCTTGTATTTCGATACGTAGAGTGCTTTAAGGTATACGCAAAAGACCGTATGGGGATATTAATGATGATATTTTTATACCACAGTTATTCTGACGCTATGCCATGAATTTGATAATCATTGATCTGATGTCCTATCAACCCAAGCTTAAGAGGTGGTTTATGTTTGGTAGTTATGTTGCCTTGTGTACTGCAGATTAGGCAAGTTCAGTCACGTCCCTTACCTGGGAAATGTATTCCGTTCAACATTCGTTATTCGTCACGTTCACTTTCCGGGTAACGGACTGGAATGAACATAAACATATATATAAATTATATATATATATATATATATATATATATATATATATATATATATATATATATATATATATATATATATATATATTATATATATATATGACCGAAAAAGTAAGATTAATAATTCTAACACGAATTTTCTCTATCTTTCTTATGTTTCTTTTCACTGTTGATGGTAATTCAAAGATCAAATCTCCAAAATTCCTTTTTATTTCTTAGTCTGACGCGACACTTGAGCGCGTTTCGTAAAATTTATTACATTTTCAAAGACTTTAGTTTACAAACACACAACTGAAACTGAATAGAGCTTACACATCTTCGAGGTTTATATCTACATTTGAGGTGAGGTGGATGAGGTGAAAAACGAACTTTCAACAATGGGTATTCAATGGGTATTAAATTCAAACACAAGACAGAACACGAAACAATGGGTATTGAATGGAAGTAATTGTAGAAAGCCTATTGGTCCATATTTCTTGATGCTTCTATATTGGAGCGGAGTCTTGAAGTGGGTAGAATATAGTTGTCTTGTGTTGGAATTTAATACCCATTGAACCCATTGTTGAAAGTTCGTTTTTCACCTCATCCACTTCATCCAACTATAGATATAAACCTCGAAGATGTGTAAGCTCTATTCAGTTTCAGTTGTGTGTTTGTAAACTAAAGTCTTTGAAAATGTAATAAGTTTTACGAAACGCGCTCAAGTGTCGCGTCAGACTAAGAAATAAAAATGAATTTTGGAGAATTGATATTTGAATTACCATCATGAAAAGAAACATAAGAAAGATAGAGAAAATTCGTGTTAGAATTATTAATCTTACTTTTTCGGTCATATTTAATAAGCTTGATGCTTCTATATTGGAGCGGAGTCTTGAAGTGGGTAGAATATAGTTGTCTTGTGTTGGAATTTAATACCCATTGAATACCCATTGTTGAAAGTTCGTTTTTTTCACCTCATCCACTTCATCCAACTATAGATATAAACCTCGAAGATGTGTAAGCTCTATTCAGTTTCAGTTGTGTGTTTGTAAACTAAAGTCTTTGAAAATGTAATAAGTTTTACGAAACGCGCTCAAGTGTCGCGTCAGACTAAGAAATAAAAATGAATTTTGGAGAATTGATATTTGAATTACCATCAACAGTGAAAAGAAACATAAGAAAGATAGAGAAAATTCGTGTTAGAATTATTAATCTTACTTTTTCGGTCATACTTTATATGTCTACAGGAAAGACTGCTACCAAAATATACTAATATATATATATATATATATATATATATATATATATATATATATATATATATATATATATATATATATATATATATATATATATATATTTATTTGTTTTTTTATTTGAAGATGATGATATTTTTATCCCGAAGTCTGAAGCTTCATTGTTTGTGATGGATAAACTCTTGTCTGAAAATTACTCACCATTTCTGTGAATTCGAGTATGTTCATTTAATTTAATTAAAATTATTTTATTTATTCCATATATTAAATTAACTGTAATGCACACACAAATTAATGTTTAGAGTAAGTAGTTTATGTGGCTATTTCTAAAGCATTGATATAATATGTTTTTATATAATTATACGAGAGCTGTAATGGTTGAGTGGAGGAACATGTGCCAGATATGGCATGACAGGAATAGTACTCTTCACAATACTAACTTTGCTTCTCTCTTTCTCTCTCTCTCTCTCCCTTGTTGCTGGTATTGTGGCTGTGTCTTCCCTCCCTCTGGCTGCCTGCTTCCCACACGGCGGCCTCACCAAAAACACTCCCAATGAACACATGTTCATATTAATATATCGTCGGGATTCTGGAAAAAACAAAATAATGTTGGGATATCTGTTCATCTGCCACCACCCCTCACTTTATGTCTACGGTGTGATGGTGTACTTGCGGCCTCTCGACCCCTGTCATGCCAAACACACTACACGAACGCTGTGGGATCTATTCGAACCCTCTCTCTGGACCCTCACGAAACCTGGATCTCCATTCAACGCCAAACACAATTGTCAACATCTCGTCCTCGGCGCTTGAACCTCTCATACTGTCTCTCACACTCGGCCCGCCACTCCGCCCTCAGGATCTGGCGAGCTGGAGTTCGAGGAGTTCGTGGAGTTGGCCGCCAAGTTCCTCATTGAGGAGGACGAGGAGGCCCTCAAGGCCGAGCTGAGGGAGGCCTTCCGAGTCTACGACAGAGAAGGTACGTCATCTCAATACTACGATAACGTTTCACATGGAATAAGAATGTTCTCTTAATGCCGGGTTGTTTCACTTGGACTGGTTGGTAGAACGATGGCTTCACTTATTGTAAAACAGTGTTCAAGTGGTTGGACATCATTTCTTCCATCCGTCCTCGAATCCTAATTTGTGATTTTTCCCGCAGGAAATGGCTACATCACGACGGACGTGCTGAGGGAGATCCTGCGGGAGCTGGACAACAGGCTGACAGAGGCGGACCTGGACGGTATTATTGAGGAGGTCGACGAGGACGGCTCCGGCACCCTCGACTTTGATGGTGAGAGACAGACAGAGGGAGAGAGATATGAGACGGACAGAACACAAGGATATATCGGACAGAGGACAGGGATGAGACACAAGGAATACAAGGACGTGACAGACATGTTGCAGGGACGTGACGGATACTGGACAGGGGATGTCTCATAAAGTGGGGCACAGGATGACGGGCGAGGAAAGACAGAGGGTGCGACAGACAGGATGAGAAGGACAGAGCATATAGATGTTCTAGAACGATTTAAAATGGATAAGCTCATGATAGGAGAAAAAATATATGCAAAGACAGAAATTATAAATAGCCGACAGACAGGATTAGGGAAAAATAGTAGAGACCAGCCATCTTTGTAAATAAAATATTATATCAGCAGATTGAAAGAGTATTTTCTTGGTGTTTCTTTGACATACAATTAAGAATACATGAAAAATAATTGATAATTACAACACGTATCAACAAAAAAATATATATATATAAATTTATCGTTCAATTTTTTTTCTATCTCATTATGTGCCAAATTTTCATTTCAGAATTCATGGCTATGATGAATGGTTAATTCATTCACCCCTCACTGAGGCTGTCTTTATTTTCTTATTTAATTTTTCTTACTTATATTTTTTAAACTTGACATTTATTTGCTTCTTATTTGTTTCTGTATGATTTACCCGTTGATCAATCTCTTCCAATTTTTTTTTTTTTTGTTTTTGTTTCGACTTACGTGTTTGTTTGTTATTGTCACGTGTTTATGTTGCTGCTAACGCCTTGTTTGCACGCTTAGTTTACACCTAATCACATAGTTTTGTCGCTTATCCTTGAACTAGGACGCTTATCTATGAGCTAGGATGGTTATCCTTAAGCTAGGATGGTTATCCTTGAGCTAGGATCGTTATCCTTGAACTAGGACGCATATCCATGACCTAGGATGATTATCCTATATCTAGGACGCTTTTTCTTGTGTCTCAATGCTTATCCTTGAACTAATCACTAGCGCAAATGCTAATCCTTATTCTAACCACTAGACTAGGATGTTTATCCTTAAGAAAGACGCTAATCTAGGATGTCTATCGTTGTATTAGCCACTAGGATATGACGCCTATCCTCGTTAGTCGTTAAGCTTCCATAATCGCTTGTACCTGAACGATTAACAATGACTGTGGTTGCTATACCGTCTTAGGATAGTCATGACTAAACGTCATTATATCATTTTTTTAACGTTACTACGTCGTTGCTACATTATTTTTGTTTATTATTAATTTGTTTGTCATTCCCTTTCGCCCTTATTTCCCACCTACCATTGGTAAACCTTTTTTTTAATGTTCTTTTAGCATTTTTTTTTTTTTAGTTTAAATGATGTTATCGTTAGCAAGAGACTATAAATATTTTCCATCTTCTTCCATCCAGGTCTTGTAGGTCATGTTTTGGCTCCTTGAAAGATTTCTTGTCCTTGAAAGATCTTTCATTGGTGGTATGATAGTCGTAAGCTATTCCATTATATATATATATATATATATATATATATATATATATATATATATATATATATATATATATATATATATATATAGGTCCTAGCTTTATTCCAAGACTACAGTTATATTTCGAAACACCACTTGCATTCCCAAAACCATTCCCAGAAGCTTTTTTCATTCCCCAAACACGCTTGCTTGCTTGCTTGCTTCCTTGCTTGCTTGCTTGCTTTCCAAACCCCCCCTTGCTTGCTAGATTCACACACCCCTTTGCCTGCTGCATTCCTCAAACCCCCCTTGATTGCTTCATTCCCAAACCCCCCTTGCTTGCTTCACTTCCAAATATCTTTACTTCCTTCATTCCCCAAGCCCCCTTGCTTCCTTCACTGTGACCCTATATTATTTGCTGAGAATCTTTGATTATTCTCAGGAACTTTATTTTATTTACGTATATGTGTGATTTTTTTTTTTGTTTAAGTGGCCTCTGTCAGCTCCCATACAAAGCCTATATATATACGTCATGCGCCGCTCTGCCACACATGGCAAAGTCAGCTAATAAACAAGATATAGAAAATCTGTGTTTTTTACTTTATTCCTTTACTAGAAGCTGATAAATAAAGAAAAGACTGGGGATTATGTGCTGAAACACCAGAATATTATGTTATATTATAATATAATGGTATTGGTACTTATGTAAAATACTGTTGAAACATGACACAGCGGAGAATATAATGTAAATTATATATATATATATATATATATATATATATATATATATATGATATATATATATATATATATATATATATATATATATATATATATATATATTGAATATTACCGAAAAAGTGAGATTAATAATTCTAACACGAATCTTCTCAATATTTCTTACGTTTTTCTTCACTGTCGAGGGTAATTGAAAAATTATCTCTCCAAAATTTTTTTTTTATAATTTGAAAAAAAATGAATTTTTGAGAGTTAATTTTTCAATTACCCTCGACAGTGAAGAAAAAAGTATATATATATATATATATATATATATATATATATATATATATATATATATATATATATATATATATATATATATATATATATATATATATATATGGTAGCAGTCTTTCCTGTAGACATATATTATTAAATATGACCGAAAAAGTAAGATTAATAATTCTAACACGAATTTTCTCAATCTTTCGTACATTTCTTTTCACTGTTGCACAACTATATTCTACCCACCTCAAGACTCCGCTCCAATATAGAAGCATCAAGAAATATGGACCAATAGGCTTTCTACAATCACTTGTATTCAATACCCATTGTTTCGTGTTCTGTCTTGTGTTGATGAAATTAATACCTTATTAAATACCACCTCACCCCATCCACCTCACTCAAATGTAGATATAAACAAAATCGGAGATGTGTAAGTTCTATTCAGTTGTGTGTGTGTTAACTAAAGTCTTTGAAAATGTAATAAGTTTTACGAAACGCGCTCAAGTGTCGCGTCAGACAAGAAATAAAAATGAATTTTGGAGAATTGATTTTTGAATTACCACCAACAGTGAAAAGAAATGTACGAAAGATTAAGAAAATTCGTGTTAGAATTATTAATCTTACTTTTTCGGTCATATTTAATATATATATATATATATATATATATATATATATATATATATATATATATATATATATATATATATATATATATGTCGTACCTAATAGCCAGAACGTCCTTCTCAGCCTACTATGCAAGGCCCAATTTGCCTAATAAGCCAAGTTTTCACGAATTAATTGTTTTTCGGCAACCTAACCTACCTAACCTAACCTAACCTAACTTTTTCGGCTACCTAACCTAACCTAACCTATAAAGATATGTTAGGTTAGGTTAGGTAGGGTTGGTTAGGTTCGGTCATATATCTACGTTAATTTTAACTCCAATAAAAAAAAATTGACCTCATACATATATATATATATATATATATATATATATATATATATATATATATATATATATATATATATATATGTGTGTGTGTGTGTGTGTGTGTGTGTGTGTGTGTGTGTGTGTGTGTGTGTGTGTGTATTTACGTGTCAAAACTGCCACCGCACCTCCTCGTGAGGTTCTAATAATTAAAGAGGTGTGACGAAACTATGTAAAAGTGCCAACTTATTGACTTTGCTCATTCATTTAACACTCGTTCTAACGTGCATTCTCTCAACACACTTTCACAATGTTCAGAATAACTAACTCCTCTGAACTCTCTCTCTCGTTCAGAAGAAAAAAAAACAGAATATTGTAACACCCAACTCTAAGAAAACGATGTTTCCGTGTTCATTAAGATTCCTTCATTTTCTACCTGGAGTTCAGTGAATAATTTCACTGCCTGACCTTGACACAGTCGAGGTGAAGTGCCGTACGGTGACAGGGACGGGAACTATCAGGATAAAGCGTCAAGCCATTACGGATATGTAGCCCTGGGAAGGGCTACATATCCCAATGTATCCCAATTCCCTACAATCCTGGGAACGGGGTCAGGATAAGACTTTTGGGATGGGACGGGGCCAGGAATGGTGCCCAATTACAACACGGACGGTCGGGGATTGAACGCCGACCTGCATGAATCGAGACAGTAGCTCTACCGTCTAGTCCAAGTGGTTAACAGGCGAGAATTATAACACTGAACAACCGAGGCGATCGGTAGTTCAGTTGAAGGGAGTTTTAAGTCTTAAGGAAAGGGAAACCATCTTAAGAAGAGACAATGTTAAGGGGGAGGTAGACAATCTTAAAGGGGACAATCATCAATTTGCAAAGAATTCTAAGCTAAGGCTCTGAGTCCTAAGGCAGCGATGGCGTAGGTGTATTTATTACAAAGAGAGAGAGAGTTTAGAAGGCAATCAGAACGCTCATCAACGAGTGTATAACCAAATATTGATGTATTCTAACTGAAACTCTGAACTCCTGTGTGTTTTAATAATGACCAAAAACTACCCCTAAATGCTGGTCTGTGTATATATATGAGTTAGGCATTGTATGTACTAGCTCTATCTATAAAGCCAACAAACTTTGTAAAATCTCTTTATGTATGTACCTTACCTAAATAAAAATTATTATTATTATATTATATAGTTTTAGGACACCCTTTTTATGCTGGTCTCTGTATATACAGTATATATATATATATATATATATATATATATATATATATATATATATATATATTCATATATGTTATTTTAGGAGACCAAGTTTCTGTGTATGTGTGTTTCCAAGAACTCAGCCCAAAGCTACTTTTAATGAGTGTCTTCCAGGTTTGGCTTACCTGGAAGCAAACACAGTTAAGGAAGTTGGAAGATAACCGAAGCAAATGGGCGAATTCACAATACACAAGGCAGCGTCTGGGATGCTCTCAGACGTAGGTTCGAATCCTCGTCACGGCCCTGGTGGATTTGTTCAAACAAGCGAAGTTTAAGGGTAAAGAATGCCACTAAAGAAGACGCGAATAGCAATTCAGTAATTACCAAAGGAAGGACAAATGGTCATTGCGTCAATTAAAATGTAACATTGAAGAGCATTCTCGGAAATATGGCTGAAATCAGATTCCTGTAACTGACGCACGCGATCTTCACGACACGCGATCTTCGCGACACAAGATCTTCGCGGCACAAGATCTTCAGGGCACAAGATCTTCAGGGCACAAGATCTTCAGGGCACAAGATCTTCAGGGCACAAGATCTTCGCGGCACAAGATCTTCGCAGCACAAGATCTTCGCGGCACAAGATCTTCGCGGCACAAGATCTTCGCGGTACAAGATCTTCGCGGCACAAGATCTTCGCGGCACAAGATCTTCGCGGCACAAAATCTTCGCGGCACAAGATCTTCGCGACACAAGATCTTCACGGCACGCGATCTTCACGGCACGCGATCTTCACCACACACGCGATCTTCACCACACGCGATCTTCACGGCACGCGATCTTCACGGCACGCGATCTTCACTAGACACGCGATCTTCACGGCACGCGATCTTCACCACACGCGATCTTCACGGCACGCGATCTTCACCACACACGAGGTCTTCACAACACTCGCGATCTTCACCAGACACGCGTTCTTCACCACACACGCGATCTTCACTACACGCGATCTGCACTACACTCGCGATCTTCACTACACTCGCGATCTTCACTACACTCGCGATCTTTACTACACTCGCGATCTTCACTACACTCGCGATCTTCACTACACTCGCGATCTTCACTACACTCGCGATCTTCACTACACTCGCGATCTTCACTACACTCGCGATCTTCACCAGACACGCGATCTTCACCACACACGCGATCTTCACTACACGCGATCTTCACTACACTCGCGATTTTCACCACACACGCGATTTTCACCACACCCGCGATCTTCACCAGACACGCGATCTTCACCAGACACGCGATCTTCACCACACCCGCGATCTTCACCAGACAGGCGATCTTCACCAGATACGCGATCTTCACCAGACACGCGATCTTCACCAGACACGCGATCTTCACCAGACACGCGATCTTCATCAGACACGCGATCTTCACCAGATACGCGATCTTCACCAGATACGCGATTTTCACCACAAGCTATCTTCGATACACGCGATCTTCACTGCATATCTTCCCATTGACAACACCCAGGCATATCGTGCGTAGAGAGGATCTTCAGTACTGCTTCCGATCTTCCCGTGTTAGTGGTTGGGCATTATTCCAATCATGGCACAATTCCCCAACTTCTATTCCAAGATGTCCTAATGTATACTCGGACACACAGAAGATACTCGGACACACAGAAAATACTCGGACACACAGAGGCTCTCGCATTCTTATTGCGAACCTATACCCGAGCTTACGACAAATATATTTGTAACTTAACCATAAGAAGCTGTCAAGTGGAATGTCTTTTGAGAAAGCAACAAGTCCTTGTTAGCAAGGCCTCATCCAGCATCCTTGTTAGCGAGGCCTCATCCAACACCCTTGTTAGCGAGGCCTCATCCAGCATCCTTGTTAGCGAGGCCTCATCCAGCATCCTTGTTAGCGAGGCCTCATCCAACACCCTTGTTAGCGAGGCCTCATCCAGCATCTTTGTTAGCGAGGCCTCATCCAGCATCCTTGTTAGCGAGGCCTCATCCAGCATCCTTGTTAGCGAGGCCTCATCCAGCATCCTTGTTAGCGAGGCCTCATCCAACACCCTTGTTAGCGAGGCCTCATCCAGCATCTTTGTTAGCGAGGCCTCATCCAGCATCCTTGTTAGCGAGGCCTCATCCAACACCCTTGTTAGCGAGGCCTCATCCAGCATCTTTGTTAGCGAGGCCTCATCCAGCACCCTTGTGAGCGAGGCCTCATCCAGCACCCTTGTTAGCGAGGCCTCATCCAGCACCCTTGTTAGCGAGGCCTCATCCAGCACCCTTGTTAGCGAGGCCTCATCCAGCACCCTTGTTAGCGAGGCCTCATCCAGCACCCTTGTTAGCGAGGCCTCATCCAGCACCCTTGTTAGCGAGGCCTCATCCAGCACCCTTGTTAGCGAGGCCTCATCCA